GAAATGGGCACAATAAAATTGATACGGTACCCAACAGCCAGTTGTGTCCAAATCCGACAGCGACCGCTGTCGAGCGGACGGCTGCTCATCTCAAATGGACACCGTCCGCGGCGACACCGACAGCGATTCCTGTTCTTCCCCCCCATCCCGTGGCGTTGGGTCCTCTTTTTGGAGGGACAGCGCCCCTCTTCCTCCTCCTTCCTCCTTCCTCTTCATTTTCCTCCTCCTCCTCATCCCATCCCTGCAATCCCTGCTTCTGCCCTCCGCATGTCTCTGTGCCGGCACACCCCTCAAACGCTTCGTGGCCCCATGGGGAGCTCCATCGAAGGCCCCAGTGGTTGCGTTCGCATGGCAACGCCGCGCGCGCCTGTTTCGGCACACCCCTCACACGCTTCATGGCCTCATACGGAGCCGAAGGCCCAAGTGGCTGTGTTCGCATGGCAACGACGCGGGCACCTATTTCGGCTCATCCCTCACACGTTTCGTGGCCCTTAGGGAGCTCCACCTAAGACCCCAGTGGCTGCGTCCGCATGGCACCGCTGCAACCGTTTCGGCACACCCCTCAAACGTTTCGTGGCTCCATACGGACCTCCACCTAAGACCCCAGTGGCTGCGTCCACATGGCACCGCTGCGCCCGTTTCGGCACACCCCTCGGGGCTCCATAGGGAGCTCCACCGAAGGCCCCACTGGCTGAACTCGCATGGGCTGCACCCGTTTCGGCACACCACTCACCCGTTTCGTGGCCCCATGAGGAGCTCCACCGAAGGCCTCAGTGGCTGCGTGCGTGCGCATGGCACCGCCGCGCCCGTTTCGCCACACCCCTCACACGCTCTGTGTTCACATGGGGAGCTCCACCGAAGGCCCCAGTGGCTGCTCGCATGGCACCGCCGCGCCCGTTTCGGCACACCCCTCACACGATTCGTGGCCCCATAAGGAGCTCCTCCGAAGACAACAGTGACTGCGTTTGCATGGCACCGCCGCACCCAGTTCGGCACACCCCTCACACACGCTCAGTGGTCACATGGGGAGCGCAACCGAAGGCCCGAAAGGCTGCGTTCGCATTGCACCGCCACACACGACGACGCGCTGGAGCACCCGCCCTCCCGCCGGGCTGCCCACCGCGGCCTCCCCCCGACGAGGCCGACGACGCGCGCGCGTCCTTCACGCGCCCGACGAGGCCCCGCATGGCATGGCGCCCCCGGGCGGCGCGGGGGGGCTGTGCAGGGAAGTGGGCCGCGGCTGCCGCGCCAGATGGGGGGGCCGACTACAGAATTGACTCAACCCAGACTTGATTCGCTCGCCGGATATTCGAAAAATGCGTATATGGTAGGTCGATCTACGAGCATTATACGTTTGCTTTGTAGACTATGTCGTCGACCCCGTACTCGGGGGCCTGTGCCCCGGCGGACGGGGGCAGCGAGCAGCGAGCCAACGCGCCGGCGTCCGCCGAGGGGCGGGGCCTCTCAGGCCATTGCGGATGGGCCGGAGCCCTCATGGATTGCTGTCGAAGTCGGGCGTGCGGAGGTCACGGCGGGAAGGGCGTGGGTGGGAGATGCCCGTGATCCGTTGCCGCGGAAATCCCCCCCCGAAAAGGGGGGGGGTCGGGCGCACAGTGGGGGCTGTGCCCTGTCGCCAGCGCCCGGGTGGCCTGTCGCGCACCCCCCAGGAGTTGAAAAACAACGGGCACACCACCGCTGCGAGGTGTGCCGTGGACTAGCGGGCGACACGCCTGGTCCTGATGGACACCGGGCGGAGCCACGGGTCACGGGGAAAAAGGGGCATGAGGGAGGAAGTTTGAGCTTCGGGAAGGGGAGGGCGGGGAGGAGGCAAGGGGGGAGGCGGAAAAAGGGGGGAGAGGGGGAGAGGAGGAGGGGGAGGGAGCAGTGCAGTTGAAGGGGTGGAGAGGAGGGCAAGGGAAAGCAAGGGGCTGGAGGGGGGTCGGGTCGGGCCAGGTCGGGCAGTCCATATAACCACCTCGGCGAGAAATGCAGGCCGAGGAGGAGGAGGAGGAGGAGGAGGAGGAGGAGGAGGAACAAGACCAAGGAGAAAGAAGACGGGGTCAAGGGGGCAAGGAGAGGAGGGAGGAGGACGAGGAGGAATGAGAACGCGGACTAGAACGGGCGGGTCGTGCGGGGCACTAAAGTAATTCAGACAAGCCTTAAGCGAGAGCACGAGCCCTGAGTAAGTTCCCTGGGCGAAAGCGGGATTCCTGGGCAAATCGTGAGGACGTCCCGCAGGGGACCAGAAGCCCGGTTTCAGGCTCAAGACCTTAACTGATACACAAAACAGATGCGAGACCCGGGGGGCACTTTAAGTGAAAAGCGATGGGCGCTGGACGGGAGGATCAACCATGTTTGACATCCTGGAGCGAGAGTCCAAAGGGAGAGGCAGGGAGGACGGGAGGGAGAGAGGGGAAGGGAAGGAGGGAGGGAGAGGGAGAGAGAGGAGGAGGAAGAGGAGGAGGAGGAGGAGGTGGAGGAGGTGGAGGAGGAGGAGGAGGTGGAGGTGGTGGAGGAGGAGGTGGAGGTGGTGGAGGAGGAGGAGGGAGAGGAGGAGGAGGAGGAGGAGGAGGAGGAGGAGGAGGAGGAGGAGGAGGAGGAGGAGGAGGAAGGCCGCATGCGGGATCCAACCCCCGCCCTCGCCCCCTGGCGCCGCGCCCGCCCGCGCGCGGGACTCCAGGGCGGCTGGCCTTCGCCTGCCGACCGCCTGCCGTGGACCGCAAGCGATGCTGCGAGCGGCACGCGGCCTCGAGGGCGAACGAGACGGTTTCGGGTCCTGCCCATACCCCCCCCCCCCCCCCTCCAACCCGAAATTCGGGTCAAACTCGGTCTGGCTCCAACGGAATCCCGCGCGTCAGCTCGAAGGTCTCAGGGTTGCCAAGGTTGTCGTTGGTCAGCTTCTGCCTTCCACTTCCAGCCCTGAACTCGACAATAGCCTCTGCTATAGCCTCGGGGGACATGTCCGAGCCCTGCAGCAGAGCCTCACAACAATTCCATCGGTGAGACAATGTACCCATGTCGTGCCCACAGTAGTGGCACTCCCTCGACGTAGCCAGCCCAAGCTAAAACGCCCTGTCGGGGCATAGCAGCGCTCCAGGCCACAGCGCGCGGAGCGCGCCTCTCTGAGCTCCTGCTGGGACCTTTTGCGCGGCATGCCGAAGAGCGCGACGCCATAGCTTCTCATCGCCAATCCTCTCGGACGTGAGGCAACAAGCGAGCCGTCTGCCATCGCCAAATAGACTCCTCGAGCCTGCGCCGCAGATCGCGGGGAGCAACGCGATACAGCGAGCATTGAACCCCGAGATCGCCCCCTAAGTCCGCGGGGCTGGGCACCCGCCAATCGACGCGATTGCGAATCAGCCACGCCGAAACCACAGGCCCGCGAGCCAACTGCCAGTTGGCCTGAGCAAAGCGATCCGCTGCACATCGCCATGCATAGTATACATCTGGCATAAACGCAGCACTGTCCCATATCGTACTGGAGTAGCGCTTGACCAGCAGGGTTGTACAATCATAAATGGGGTCGAACTTGTTCATCCTGTTGGGCAATAAGGTAGAGCGTGAGTTGAGCGTTCTGGGCGGCCCCGACCATGCCACCCGCGAAGGTGCACAACTGCTTGAGCACCGCGTCTGACGTGCCGCTCACCCCCGTGCCGTGACCGACCGACGACAGGATGCCGGTCCTCCAGAACTCCGACCTTCTCGTGAACCGAACCCCTGAGCTGGAATAGTCTGCCCTCGCGGGCTGTCAGGCTCTTCATGCGCTCCTTCTCCTGGACCCTGGAGACCCGAACCCCATGGAGCCCATGCCCGAGATGCATGGTGTGTTTTTGACGTTGAGCTTCATGCTTGTGATGCCACTGTGGAAATCCTTGGCAGCCCGAGTAATGGTCGCCACGAACCCCGACTCACTCTGTTGCAGAATCAGACCGAGCGGGTACACATCAGAGGCGAAGTTGAGCACGCATGTGCCAAGGACTGTAGCGCCCCGAGGATCGGGCCCGTGCCACTGCATCGTGATATCGTCCATGAGTACTCTAGCGCCTACTCGTGGACATAGCATATAATGCCGATTGACCACTCGATGTAGCACAAGCATGAGGACCGACGTGGCATGCGCGCAACCAGCCAAGATCCCCTGACACGACACGAACAGGCTGCTGACGTTCGCGCATGCTCGTACAGTGCGTGGTACCATGTATGTCTGTAATATCATCCACATGACTCGTATGGGGTATCCAAGCTCACGCGCCTCTAGCATGATCATGCCCCATAAGACTGTAGCATGACACTTTAAACATGTCCAGGGATACCGCGATGATGTGCTGCTTGCGTCCCAGTGCTGCCTCTGACGCCAAGTCGAGCTGACACACGCAATCACTAGATGTTCTGCCTGGCCTCAGCCCCAGAATGACGGGCGTCGATGCGTTTGCTTCCACGCTGAGCGGCCGTCTGGCTCGGCCCCACATCCTCAGCAACGCGTTCAGCAATGCAACCAGACGCGTGCCTCCACTTGGCTTGGGAAGCATACGCAGCTCAGAAACCAGCCGATCCTGCGGCCAGCGGCACATGCGCTCGCAGGCGCAGAACAAAGAAGCCAGCGCTTCGAGGCCAGCATCCGATACAGACCGAAAATGTCGAGGCAGGATTCAAACTTGCCCTCGACCTGCGCGACGGGCAAAGGTGCCAGTCACGCACCTGAGGCATGTGCCTGCGAGGGGCGGCAATTGCTCCCATCTGTCCGAATCCGCTGGGGGAGGTAGCAGATCCGCCCCGCGCAGGCGCCGTACCTCTCTCCACTCAGCCAGCTCGCCGTTCGCCAGCCCTGGTGGGGAAGGGAAATCGGACGACTCAAAGGCCATCTGCACGCCCTTCAAACGAAGGAAACTGCGCGCCGCCTGAGCCCCGTTCTTCAATGCCGTCGTCGCCCACTCCATCCAAGACTGCTTCCGCTGCGCTGCAAAAATATATTGGGCCAGCTGGGCCTCGGCAATCGGGGCCTCTAGCTCGGCCTCCAACTGGCAGTCGCCATGCCAGGGGCCCAGCCCGCCCTCAAAGAATGCAACTGTCTCGTTGTCTAAATGCTCATGGACACGGGTGGCCCTCGCGATCTTCTGCGCGGAGTGCCCAGCATCCAATAGCAATGTCCCAGGCCTCCGGGTAGTCGACGGCTTCTGCTGCTGCCTGGGATTGCGTCCGATCGGCGAGCTATCGGATTGAGTCCAGCAACAGGTGGCGACTTGGCAGGGCACGCTGGCCGCGCCGTGCATCGGCTTAGAAACCAGTCGGGAACTTGGCCAGCACTCCAGGGCGAAGCGTAGTCTGGCAGCCACGCCCTCTCACTGGGTTCGCGGGGAAGGCCCCCAACCCCACTAGCTGCGGGCCCCGCATAAGTTGGCACACAGACCTTGGGCGCCGCATTCGACCCGCCAGTCGCAGCCCACGTCGACGCGAGCTCGCGGGGAAGGCCCCCGCCCCCGTCAACCGCGGGCCCCACATCGGCGGACAGATAAACTGTAGTCGCCGAAACTGACCCCCTGGCCATCACGCGCGAAGATGCGGGTTCGCGGAGGAAGCCCCATACCACGTCTACCGTGGGACCCATAGCGGTAGACATAGAAACTGCGGGCGCCGAACTCGACGCACTGCCAGAGGCCCTTTCGAGAAAATAAAATGTCTCGGGCATATTTGGCTCAACAAGGGCATCGAATAGAACAGCTATTCGTCGAGTGTGTCGGGCCCAGCTCTGCGCAATCTTCCACTAGTAACAAACCTCATCCCCCGGGGCCTCTGCCACGGGCTTCTCAACGCGCTGACCGATATTTTGCGCACGGCCACCTTTAGAGATATACTGAACCACGCTCTCGCCAACGATGTCGTGGCGGCCTGCTAATTTCACCTCCAGCGCATTGAGAACTGTCAACCATGCATTCGAAAGCTCCTCCTGCGCGCTGACCTGCTGCAACTGGCGCCTAACAGGTCCCCAACTGCACGGGTACCTCGAGCAGCCTGGCTTGATGGCTGCGGGCAACGTTCTCGGCTCAACCATCTGTCTGAGGGGCACAGCTGTGTTCTTAGCTACCAACGGTAAGATGACGGGCAGGTGGAATGCAGCATCCGCCTCGTCGTTGACAGTGGGCCTAGACACCCTGGGCACCAGAACAGCAGCAATCATAAACCAGTCGATAGTGGTGCCGGGCAGACTTTGTCGGCACGTAGTCGCACGCGGGGCAGCCACGACGCCGTCAGTGGGGTAGAGCCAACCAAGATCTCCCATCTCCTCGACAATCATCTCGTAGTCACCTCCAAAGACCCACGCGAAACCTTGCGCTCGCATCTTTTGACATGATCTGCCACACTGCGCAAAATCTGAACCTTGCGCGCCGACATCTTGTCACCCACATACAGATACATCGAATACACACAATCAGGCCCTCGCCTGCGCCCCAATGAATTCGAGTAGCCAGGAGGCGGTGAGGCACCAGAACTCCTCCGTCCGTTCCTGGCGCCGCCGTGACGGAGCATCTTGCGCGTCAAGACCGCGATCCCACCCGACGTGCCGGGCGCACGGGTCGATAGCGCGGGGCTCCACACGCCCTGCCATCCCAATTTGGCCAACTTGACTTGGCCGTCTGCCAACTTATCCTTCGTGATGTGTTGTTATTGCACACAAGTGACTTGAGCTCTGCACAGAGGAAGATATCCTGCCAGCTGCCCAAGCGAGGTGCAATTCAGAGTCTCGATCGTAGTAGCCTCCGCCAGGGTCGCACATTTCAATAACCACACAAGGAGACAGACCACCCTATACCGAGGTGCGGGCCTTTTTGGCCAGGCCTTCCAGCCCAGCCGACGTGCGCTTGACTGCGGCCCGCAGCTGCTCCTCATCCTCAGGGACCTGTCCTCCCAGTGCCTGGAGAAACTGGCGGAGCTCCTCTGGTGCTTCGTCGCCCGTGGGAAGAACATACCGGGGATGCTGATGGGGAGGACGTGGTGGAGCTTCGGCCTGAGGCTCTGGCTCCTGAGCAGGAGCTGCTGGAACAGGCCTGCAATCGAGCTCGGCTGCACGCAATTGGTCCATGACGCTCTTGAGCGAGGCCGCGAGGTACTCGGCAGCACCTACATCCAGGTCGCGTGCCTTGAACAACTCCCCGAGGCCATCGACCGACGCACGCACATTCTCGATCTGCGCCTCGAGCTTGCGCTCAGTCGGCGCATTCGGCATGGACCCGAGGATCTGCTGCACCTCGGCCTCCTTCGCGACAACCTGCTCCAGCACATCCTGTAGCTCAGACTCCGCGCTGTCGACCGCCGCCTGGGCCGCCACCACAGCTTCCTTGGCGATCTCGGCAGTATTCTCGATGCGCTGCTTCTTCTCCGGCAGCTGCTTCTTCTGGCTGACTGCGTCGTGGGCCCTCCACTCGTCGAAGGGCTGAGCCTCACGCAGCTTGCACTTGCATGCGTCGCGGTGCCTCTCGAGGTGTAGGCGCTGCTGCTGGGCGAACTCCGTGTCCGCATCCTTCGGCAGGGCCTTAAGCATGGACTCAGCGAGCGCGAGCTCGCTCTTGTAGCGGGACTGAATGTTGTCGTTCGTGGTCGAGGTATCCACCTCCATGGCGCTGCCGTCATTGTCCCGCATGCCAAGCTGCTCACTTAGTTCAGCAGTTTGCTTCTCGAGGGCTCTTTCGCGTTGCGACTTCTTATCCTTGTCCTCGTCCTTACCTGTGCCTCGGCCTATGTCCTTGGCCAATGCAGATGTCGATGGAGATGGCGGTGGCTTGATGCCGAAGAACGCAGTGTGCTTGCTGCAACCACACTCACCCCTGCAGAACTTGGCTGATGCATTGTTCCACCAACGCTCGCCTGTTGAGTTGACACACCGTCTGCATAGCCACGGTTTGACCCATGCCATGCGCCATGGCTGCAGAAAGACCAGGAATGTGAAGAGGAGTCCCCTCGCAGGGGTCGTGATGAAAGGCTGTGCGATCCCTCTGGGGGGCCGAACTCGAGCACCTGGGGCGGACCAGGTCTCGGAAAAGCTGTCGGGCTCAAGGCCCTGGCACTGCCGCGGACTAGCGGTATCCACTTGCTTCGCTGTGAACCTCATAGCCTTGAGCCAAAATGGCTTGAGCCAAAATGGCTTGAGCCCAAATGGCTACGGAAGGAAGAGGAGGAAGAGGAGGATGAGGAGGACAAGAGAGAGAGAGAGAGACAGGAGAAGGATGAGGAGGACAAGCGGAAAGAGGAAGGAGACGGGAGAAGGGGGGGCAGGAGAAAATGCATGAGGAGAAGAAGCCGCACATTGCCACGCTGGCCGTCGCGGGCGGGGTGGGTGCTGGAGGGGGGCACCAGGCCCCACACGATCAAGGACCAAGGACCACAGGCCTTCCCGAACAAGGTGAACGCCTGGCCAAGCTAGCTGCTCTATGCAAGACGCTCGCTCACCCACACAAGTGCGAGAACGGCTCGACGAAGGTCTCCACCCCAAGAAGGACGAGGTCTCAGTAGACCGTTCTCATCTGCCCCATTCAGTGGGGTCCTTGGTCGTGGCTGTCAGAATATGCTAGCCAGCGTGAACCGCAAACAGTGATGTTCGATCACCAAATGCGGTGCAATCGAGGTGGTGCACTCCAGGTGATGCAATCCAGAAGGTGCACTCTATGCAGAGCAAAGCAATGCAAAGCAATGAAAAGCAACACAAAGCAACGCACCGCAATGCAAAGCAACGCGATGCGATTCCAAAGCAATGCCAAGCAACGCGAAGCAATGCAGCGCAATGCAAAGCAACGCGAAGCAACGCAAAGCAATGCAAAGCAGTGTGAGGCAATGCAGAGCAGTGGAAAGCCATCGAAAGCAATGCAAAGCAATGCAATGCAGAAGGCGAGCCTCGCACAATTGAGATCGTAACCGAGGACGACGGCGACGGGTGGCGACGGGCGGCCACAAGCCAGCCGGACCGTCAACCAGGCCCACTTCTTTAGAAGAGAAGAACCTCCTCCTCATCATCCTCAACTTCCTCGTGCCTCCTGCCCCTCCTCCTCCTCCTCCTCCTCCGCCTCCTCCTCCTCCTCCTCCCGAGGATCCAGGATCGAAAAGGGAGGAGCGAGGAGCGAGGGTCGAGGCTCGGGGAGCGAGAAACGAGGCTCAAATCTATCGCACTACCATGAGGAACGCCACATGCGGATCGAGATGCGTTTCTGGCAACGGCCAGCCTCGGCGCAGAGTAGGTTCCTCGACCTGGATCACAGGAACGGCCTGAAAAAAGCAGATCCCCTCGTGAGCCCGAACTGGTCCTTCTTTCAGAGTCTTGACTGTGCGAGGTCAGACGAGAGAGCATCAGCGGATCGAGAATTCAAGCCTCCAGACGTTCTTGCTGCTGGACGTTCGTGGGGCAAAACCAGCACCAGATACATGGTTGGGACTTCTGGGACACCGTATTGAAGAGAACCAAGACATCGGATCTCTGGGTACGGCAGGTTCGTGTCGTGACGACTTGTGCATCGCTTTCCAACACCTCGTGGGTCGTTCAACCTCGAACGATCGCGGCTTCCGGGTAGCACAGATTGATCCACAGCGGTGGTCGTAGGCAGCTGTCGGCGCTCAGACTTGAACGCCCGCGCCCGCACTAGGGTCGCCGCCGCGTCAACGCGGCGCGAAAATGCCGTACTGCGCTGTCTCTGCGCCCATCCTTGCCACCGTGCATCTCCCCCGCCCCCGTCTCGCAGCTTTTGGACATCGCCGCACGCCGCCGATGTCAGGGCGGCAAGAGGAACATCAGACTGGCAGAAAAGATCGCACAAAAGCGTGCGCTGCACATACGGCGTATCACAGTCGGCCCTGCATGCTCGTGCAAGCTCGACGTCTGCAAAACCGCTGCTTGGCAATCAGGGCTCAAAGAATATTCGAGACCGAACGCCTCTTCACAAGAATCTCGTCGTCGTGGGCATCGTCGCGTTTGTAACCGTGGCAATCGTTGTCCTCGCGTTCCTTCTCTCATACTCCCATTTCCCCTTTGCTGCCCGACACCAACCTCAACCGCTTCCGCATCCGCGTCCTCCTCCTCCTCCTGCATCCTCGTTCTCCTCCTCCTACTCCTCCTCCTCCTCCTCTTCCTTCTACTCTTCATCATCCTCATCATCATCATCATCATCATCACC